CCGGCTTCCCCCCACCCAACCCCTTCCCCCACACCATCTTCCAGCCTCCCCCCTCGGCCTCTCCCCACCCAACATCTTCCCTCACACCCCAATGGCCCGTACCATCTTCCAGCATCCCCCTCTGGGGGATCACACATAAGAACGGCCGTACTGGGTCAGACCAATGGGAATCTAACCCAGTATCCTGTCTGCCGACAGTGGCCAATGCCGGGTATTTCAGAGGGAATGAACAGAAACAGGGAATCATCAAGTAATCCATCTCTTGACACCCATTCCCAGCTTCTGGCAAACATGCTAGGTACCATCTTCCAGCATCCCCCTCTGGGGGATCACACATAAGAACGGCCGTACTGGGTCAGACCAATGGGAATCTAACCCAGTATCCTGTCTGCCGACAGTGGCCAATGCCGGGTATTTCAGAGGGAATGAACAGAAACAGGGAATCATCAAGTAATCCATCTCTTGACACCCATTCCCAGCTTCTGGCAAACATGCTAGGAACACATCAGGACATGGTTTTGCATCCCTCGCTATCCCAGCAAATAGCCATTGACCGACTTATCGATCTTGAAATTACCTAATTTTCTGAACCTTGTTATAGTCTTGGCTGACACAACATCCTCTGGCAAGGAGTTCCACAGGTTGATTGGGTGATATGTATAGAAATACTTCCCATACCTCTGATCTTGCCCTCCAGTAACCCTGCAATACTGGAGAACACGCTCAGAGGCCAAAAACGGATAAAGACTTTGACTCAGAGATTCATGGGGGGTGGCGTGTTCTAAGCAAACATGCATGTGTGGTGTTTGTTTTTGAAGAACAGGTCACTGGCCGGAGCCCTGTTGGCCATGCAGGAATGTCCAGTAAGCTCACTAACCCGCATGTTGGAACTTCCATTGTTTATTAAATATATTTCTCTGCAATGCTTCCACCTGTGGGAATTGCTCGATTATGGCTTTGGAGAGGAAGGCCGGAAAAGCTGCAGCAATCTGCCTTGCTGGGGAGCTCTGAGTGCTGGAGAGAGATGTGGGTCTTCTCCCAAGGGAGGTGACAGCAGGGGTGCTGAAGCCCATGCTGGACCACTGAGGGCACGGGGAGAAATACTGGGACAACCACACCTACCTGCGACCATGCAAACGACTTTCCCATCCCCCTTTCCCTTGTCAGTCACTCACCTTTCTACCTCCCCGGCCTCCGCAGCTGCTGACTTACATTCCCTGGAAGGAGCCAGGCTTCTACAAAATGAACTGTGCGCTCGGGGGTGATTTATGGAGACATCGTTAAAGCTTGCAGCATCCCCTGCCCCTCCCCCCTCTTAATTAAGGGCCAGGAGCTGGTTTCACACTGCAAAAGTAGCCAGCTGTCAGCTCTCCAAAGGAACCTGAAGGGTTTTCTTCGGTGCTTTACAAGTCCCTTATCCCTTCCACACAGCGGGCAAGGGTGCATGGCGCCCTTCTTGCGCAAGAAAACCCCTCTTGCGCAATGCCGTTCTTCCTGAAAAGTCACAGGTATAACGGCATTGCACAAGAGGGTTTTTCTTGCACAAGAAGGGGCAGTGTAGATGTTCCTTCTTGCACAAGAGCCTCTTCTGAAAAAAAATGGTGGCTCATTAGGTATGCAAATGAGGCTTGGCAATATCCCATGCTTAGCCTCCTTTGCATATTACTCACACAAGAAGCCGGGAGTGTAGACATAGCCAAAGCGATGACCTGGCTTGGAAGAGGTATCCTCGTTAGTGGATTACTTTATACAGTGACCGTTGCATAGAAAGGCTCCAGTCACCTGCTTTTTAGAAACCCTCCGCCTGGCTTTCATCGTGGAGAGCCTGGGGGAGGTCTGTCGTACGTCTTCATTGGCGGGCGAGACAAACAGCAGTGCTGAGTCAGCTGTCCTGGAGGCTCTGCTGTCCGCCTCTTGGCCACGGCTCGCAGGCGTTACCCATCTGACTTCAGGCCACGAAGTCGATATTTAGGGAACTCACACAGAGGCCTGATAGTCAGAGGCTCTAGCAGCCCCCACTAAGGGCTGAGACATCTCACTTTAGGTACCAACTTCTGAGAATCTGGGTTCGTGTGAGAGGGGTCTGGATTGCTAAAAAAAATTCACGGTGGCTATAGACAGCCTCGAAATTAACGAGACTCATGTGGGGCAGGGGTGCTGGGCCGGGGGGATTCCAAATTGTTCCTGATGGATTAGCTTAAACTGGCACAGGCTTAAAAAACCAAAATAGAATCCAGACTCCTACTCTACCCGCAACCAAGACGGGAAACCTTATTGCTATTCTGGTCTTTCCTCTACAGGTCTAGAGCAGCTGATTAAGAACCGACATGGCGCATGAGACCTATGGCCCATCTAGCTCTGCATCCCGCCCCCGGCAGCAACCAGTATGAGCGCTTCAGGCAGAGGGCAAAATAGGGCAAGGTGGATCTCTCCAAAATATCTCCCCCTCCTGGTTTCCGGCAATCAGATTTAGGGTTACCCTGGGCATGGAGTGGCATCTCTGCCCATCTTGGCTAACAGCTCTTGTGGGGCCTCTCAGCCATGAACTTATTTCTTTTTTGAACCCAGTTGTATTTTTGTCAGCTCACTATCCCACAGCAGTGAGTTCCACAGATTAACTGCATTGTGGGAGGTGGAGTTTTGTGTTTAAGGGGTAGGCCAGGTATGGGAGAAGGCAATGGGCCATATACAGGGATTGTTGCAATACATGAAAATGCCAATGACTTCCCGTCCCAGGCACTAGGTCCTACCCCTTTCTAAGAAACCTGATAGTCTGTTTCTTTCTGGAAACATTGGCCACATGGCTAGGGTGCGACTCAGGACACGTGGGTTCAATTCTCTGCACCCGTTTGCCATTTGTACACTGAGGGGTGTTCTGGTAGATTCTGAGGTGCCCCAGCCCCCACTAGTAGAGGGGATAGAAATACTTGCAATGGGAAGGCTGATAGGGACTGTGTTAAACAAGCTAAAGTAGCTACTGCTCTGAACGTTTGAGAAGTTAGCTTTCTCAGCAGCCGTGTCCTCCCAACTAGACAAGAAAATCAAAGGGCTTGGTTTTCCACTCTGGTAGAGAGGGGGGCTCCTTCCCCATTGGAGAAAACTTGGCCTCCAGAGCCCACTTCTAACTCTGATTTGGCTGCCTGCCTGCCTTCCTCCTCAGCGTGTTCTTCCCTGAAGGATGGTCAAGACTCTCTGGAATTGGCACTGGTAGCCACAGAAAGAGAAGGGCTCAGTGTTCATGTCTGTTGGCCAACCAACGTTGACCACAAGCGACTGACCTTCTGGAGCGAGCCGCGGCCCAGCGGCGCCCGTGGGAAGCGTAGCCCTGAAACCAGAGCGCCCACCCACGGAAGGCAGCATGACTCCATGGCAGCAGCACCCGGGTGACGTCCCCAACGCCGCGGAAGGAACACAGGACAATGACCGTCGCAGTCGGCACTCACAAGAAAAGCCAAGAGTCACAAGCAGATTTTTTTTAATTTACCCTCCCCCCCGTTCCCCCCAAACATAAATCTCTACTTCCATCCAGAAAGCATTTCAGATCTTCGGTGCTGGGCTTCTTCAAGTATCTACTTGCATAGGCAGTAAATCATTGTCAGTCATTCAGGTGCATATTTAAAAAAAAATTCACTCCCCAGACTCTGTGACCCTACCAGAGCATCTCCAGGCAGTGCGAGTGTCTCCGCATTTTCCTTCCCTCCCGCCATTTCCCCCACTCTCAGGAGTTTACAGACGATCACTTATTCTTGAAGGCGGGAGGGAAGCCAATGTCTGGCGAGAACTATTCTACAACGCCACAACTGCACAGTAACCAGGGAGATGGAAAACCATCAGGGTGAGTTCATTCCAATAAAATCCAAACACAGAACGTGGCAAAAAACCAAAAGCACCAGCCCCCCCGAAACGGGAGCTCACATACAGTCTAGCTGCTAAACAAAGGGTGATCCACGTACACACGCAATGTTACATTCACCATTGCACTTCCCGAGCTATTGTTCGGCTAGCACCAGCGAACCCAAACGACAGAAGCCACATCGGCTGCTAGTCTACACTGGCCCCACCCGGAGTGGGGCCCAGGGCTGAATTCGACACCAGGTCTCAGCCCCATACTCTTTGATCTAACAAGCTTTACTGCTGCTTTAACACTGAATTCTACTCGTGCGGCGCACGCTCCCTGCTCCGAGTCTGTAAATCGCTTTTTCCCCGTGATGAAGGCCGAGGTGGAAAGGCCTTTCCTGGGGTACGTCTAGACCAGCTCGTGAGCGGAAGCAGCGTTTAAACGGAGTTGTTTGTGGGAGGGAAGGCTAGACCTCTTAGTGAACAGCCAGGTTGATTCTCCCCCTGCCTAAGAAAATACTTTGAAAGCCAAGTGCCATTTGGGGCACGCCGAAGACAGTTCATTCTGCTCCGCAAGGATACGGCTCTGAACTAGATGCCAACGCCATTCTGCTATGGACGGCGTCACAGCCATAGGGAAGAACGAACTTCTACGGCAGTGGATCCCTTGCACTCAAACACTGATTGTAACACAGGGGGGTTGGCTCGTGTGCTGGCTGACAAACTGCAGGTGCAGTCAACGGAACCAGCCTTGTCAAAGCGAAGGGCGTCAGAAACAATGGAGTGTGAAAAGGAGAGCCGGTCGGGCGCGGCCTTTGCACTCAGAACGTACTGACGGCTCTCTGTGATAAGCAGACACTTGAAATCGCAAAGGAAGGAAGCTGCGCGCTGGTTTAGGCAGCTGCTCAGAGCCAAGACAGCTGAAAACAGGGAGGTAACCAGGCTGCTGGGTGCCCAGCTAGCGAGAGAAGAGTTACCGGACACGGGAACACAAGTTTTCCCACGAGGAAGCAACTATCACCTAGAGGGACACCACTGAAGGTCATTATGGGGGCTAATTCAGTCCTCGTTCTCCGCTGACAGAGCCAACGGCTGACTATCAAGTCTTACTCCACTCAGATGCGCGGCTAGCGGCAAGAGGGTGGTAATACTACTCTAATGCAGAACGTCGTGGCTTGCACTCCGATCCGCGTAGGTCTAACGTTCGCCCCCAAACAGCACCCCAGGTTTCTTTCTTTCCTCCTTGCTCCTACAAAGGAGAACAAAGAACCTTGCCACCATGCCTTGTACATGCGCCACGCCCTGCGCAAGCCCATTCCTAACACTGCTGTTGCCAGGTCGACTTGTCCGTGCACTTGCAGGCCAACGCTAGGCCGCGCACAGCCCACACTCACAGCGTAACATGGGTGGGGGGACATGGGACTGTTCATAACTACAGTTGGGGGAGGGATAGCTCAGGGGTTGAGCAATAGCCTGCTAAACCCAGGGTTGACAGCTCAATCCTTGAGGCCATTTGGGGCAAATCTGTCAGGGATGGTGCTCGGTCCCGCTGGGAGCGCAGCGGACTGGACTCCCTGACCTCTCAAGGTCCCTTCCGGCTCTATGAGATAGGTAGATCTCCATCTATTATAAGGGTTGGCTGCTGGATCTTGCATTGACGCTTAGCCTGACGCTCAGCAGAAGCCACCTCTGTGGCCAACATTGCAGGATCCGCCACAGCAGAGGGGGGACCGTAGGGAACGCGCCATGTTAGATTGGTGCAGGATTCTGGGGACACTGAACCACGGGAATGCGGGGGAGCACTATGATTTAACGGGGCGCCTCGCTCCGTGAAGTGGTTCTCCTCTGCAAAGGGGATCCAAGAGGCCGTGTCTGGTAACGCAAAGCAAGCTTCTACCTTAGCTGTGCGGAGGCAACAGACTCCAGCTCGCTCCCTCTTGGCTACTGCCTGGTGCGCCAGTACAATAGTCTAACTTCTAATTAGTCCCATCTTCACAAACCCTTTCGGCTTGGCTAGGAGGCACCGCGGCTCTAAATCAGCCTGCAGAACCTGCTGGGCTCTTTGGCTCATGGCTATGCTAGAAATTAGGAGTGGGGAAAAAACCCTGCCTGCGAACTGCACAGTGGACAATGGAGTCCTCCGGTGCCGTTTGCCACCTGTGCTTGCAAATGTGACCATGAAGAGAAACTGAGTCAAGAGAAATTGAGTCAAGCCCTAGACGAAGCAGAAGGCCGGGACTAGCGTTACAGATGGGTTAAAAGTCCTTCCTAGCTCAGTGACTCTCAGGCGCGCTAAAGAGCCCACCACAAATGGAGTCTCCCCGCAGGCTCGGTGCCGGCGCAGAATGGTTTGCCACCTGTGCTTGCAAATGTGACCATGAAGAGAAACTGAGTCAAGAGAAATTGAGTCAAGCCCTAGACGAAGCAGAAGGCCGGGACTAGCGTTACAGATGGGTTAAAAGTCCTTCCTAGCTCAGTGACTCTCAGGCGCGCTAAAGAGCCCACCACAAATGGAGTCTCCCCGCAGGCTCGGTGCCGGCGCAGAATGCACCATTCCTAGCCCCGTGCAGCGAGCCGAGAACGGTGCAGATTTCAGAGCGGGCAGTGCTGGTTTTGAATGCCCCGTCGCTAGGCAGTGAGCCCAGAGGCCGGGCTTCAGCATCCACGCTTCGTCACGGAGCATGACGACGGCGCACTGGGCCGTAGCAACACCAGGCAGGTGTGGGCTCAAGCGCACCCTGGCTCTGCGCTCCGCCACTAGTAAAACCGTGAGACCGGTAAGGAACGGCAGCCAGGGGGTTCAATCAGACCGACCTCTGTGGCGGGCAGGGAGGGCGGGCCAGGAACACCACAGGCAGGGGCTAGCAGCTAACAGACACACGTCTCCTTTACAGTATTACAAATTTTAAAAGGGCCATTTTAAAGCTAAAGGGGCTGCCATTTCTCCCGGGGGGGCTGCCAGCTTCCCAGCAGCTCGGCCCTGCCAGCAGCTCGTCTGTATTATAGAACCAACCCCTCGGCGTTTCGTCCTGTAAAACCATCCAAAAGGTCCTAGCGGAGGCAGCCTGTCACTCCTCCTTGGCCTCCTCCCTCCGCCCGGCCCCCAGGCTGCTCCACACTTCGGCGTACAGGAGGGTGCCCACGAAGACGAAGAAGGTGCCGAGCCAGTGCCAGGCAGTGAAGGGGTTGCGGAAGTACAGGATGGAGAAGATGAGGCTGACGAACTTGCGCAGCGTCACCACCAGGGTGACGGTGAGGGAGGGGCACTCCGTGGTGAGGGTGAAGACGCCCCGAATGCATCTTCCAGCCCGGCTCCCCCCACAGCTGCACCCTGCCCCCCGCTCTGCCCCCTTCTCTTCCAGCCCGGCTCCCCCCACAGCTGCACCCTGCCCCTCCGCTCTGCCCCCTCCCTTCCATCCCCTCACCCCCC